TGAATCGTATCTGAATTCAGAATTTATCGGACTCTAAGAAGAAGCCCATTGATATCACTCGCAACGTAGGGGCCAACATGTATAAGACATCATTTACATAAAAAGTATGCGAAACATAAGATGAGGCATCAATATATAATTGGAAAGTAACATCAACAAAAATTAAAATCATTTCAGCCAAGGAGATCGCAGGTGATTTTGTTTCAGGGCAACTGGTTATAAAGATATTATATTTATTCCGCGGAATAATACTGTAAATACCGGTATTTAATCCTATCAAATATAATACTTACGTTGTGTTGTATAAGCTGTATTTTCGTTCTTTGCTGTTGGTTTATTTTCTCTGGCTCTTGTTGTCTTTAATTTACTAGCATCAGGGGTTTGTTTCGTCTTCCGTTCTGAAACACGATTTAAATACTCTCAATATAATCTTGATAAAACAACAGAGAGCGAAGTGTAACAAAAAAAAAAACAACAACAACGGGGATCAGCAACAGAAATTGAAGTGAAACATCAGCGTCTGAGAAGTAATTCGACATCTGAACGTTCTTGTGTGTCATCAATGACCTGAGGTTCATGAATGTTTTTTGCGTTTTGAAAATTTAAATTAAATGGATGAATTTTGCCTACTTTTATAAATTTCACAATCACTAAAATCTCCCTACCTTCCTCTGTTGGCTTTGGTTTCAATTTTATGTTTTTGTTATCTCTGGCATGTACAAGTTCTCCTTTCTCAGTTTTTGAAGATTTTTCAGAGGATGGATCTTTAACTTCACCTGCCTTAGAAGATTCAATATTTCCTTCATTTTTCGCTTCACCTTCATCTTTACCTGCTTTATTTACATCTTCTACCATACTTTCACCCTTCTCCTGTTCGTGATCTTTATATAGCTCAATATCCTCTTTTTCTTCTTTCTTGACATTATCTTCATTAGAAGATTTAATATTTTCTTTTCCTTGATTTAGTTCCTCTTTTTGCTCTTCAAGATCTTCTTTTGGCAGCTTTGGTTTTGTCTTTTTCTTTGATTTCTTCTTCTTCTTCACCTTCTTTCCCCTTTTCTTTGATTTCCTCTTTTTCTTCTTCCTTCTCTTTCGCTTCTCACTTTTATTTTTCTGACCCTTTATACCCGAGTTTTCGTGGTTTTTCACCTCTTCATCCATTGATATCTGTATAGATTTTTCCGGATGCCCCTCAACATTTTTTGGTATTTTCTTGGTCATTTCATTCTTTTCTATATTCTTCCCATTCCTATTTTTCTTTGTCCTCTTAATCTCTTTATTTGTCTTCTTTTTCTTGCTCAATTTTCTGTTCTTTTCTCCCCTTTTCTTTGTTTCCTGTTTCTTATTCAACTGTATGCTTTTTTCTTCATTTTGTTTCTTTTCAGATGGTTCTATAATTTGTTCCTCTTTTTCTTCTTTCTTGTCATTATCTTCATCAAACGATATATTTTCTCCTTCCATCCGTTCTGAAACAGGATTAAAATACTCTCAATATAATCTTGATAAAACAACAGAGAGTGAAGTGTAACAGAAAAAAAAACAACAACGGGGATCAGCAACAGCGACTGAGAAGTAATTCGACATCTGAACGTGTTTGTGTGTCATCAATGACCTGAGGTTCATGAATGTTTTTGCGTTTTGAAAATTTGAATTAAATGGATGAATTTTGTCTACTTTTATAAATTTCACAATCACTAAAAATCCACTAATGAAAATAATTCGAGAATCTATGCCATACGAAGTCAAAATTTCAATTTGAATAGGGTTTTAGTCCTACCTTCCTCTGTTGGCTTTGGTTTCCATTTTATGTTTTTGTTATCACTGGCATGTACAAGTTCTCCTTTCTCAGTTTTTGAAGAATTTTCAGAGGATGGATCTCTAGCTTCACCTGCCTTAGAAGATTCAATATTTCCATCATTTTTCGCTTCACCTTTATCTTTACCTGATTTATTTACATCTTCTACCATACTTTCACCCTTCTCCTGTTCGTGATCTTTATATAGCTCAATATCCTCTTCTTGCTCTTCAAGATATTCCTTTGGCAGCTTGGGTTTTGTCTTTTTCCTTGATTTCTTCTTATTTCCTTTTTTCTTCTTTTTCTTCTTCCTCACCTTCTTTCCCCTTTTCTTCGATTTCCTCTTTTTCTTCTTCCTTTTCTTTTGCTTCTCACTTTTATTTTTCTGACCCTTTATACTCGAGTTTTCGTGGTTTTTCACCTCTTCATCCATTGATATCTGTATAGATTTTTCCGGATGCCCCTCAACATTTTTTGGTATTTTCTTGGTCATTTCATTCTTTTCTATATTCTTCCCATTCCTATTTTTCTTTGTCCTCTTAATCTCTTTATTTGTCTTCTTTTTCTTGCTCAATTTTCTGTTCTTTTCTCCCCTTTTCTTTGTTTCCTGTTTCTTATTCAACTGTATGCTTTTTTCTTCATTTTGTTTCTTTTCAGATGGTTCTATAATTTGTTCCTCTTTTTCTTCTTTCTTGTCATTATCTTCATCAAACGATATATTTTCTCCTTCCATCCGTTCTGAAACAGGATTAAAATACTCTCAATATAATCTTGATAAAACAACAGAGAGTGAAGTGTAACAGAAAAAAAAACAACAACGGGGATCAGCAACAGCGACTGAGAAGTAATTCGACATCTGAACGTGTTTGTGTGTCATCAATGACCTGAGGTTCATGAATGTTTTTGCGTTTTGAAAATTTGAATTAAATGGATGAATTTTGTCTACTTTTATAAATTTCACAATCACTAAAAATCCACTAATGAAAATAATTCGAGAATCTATGCCATACGAAGTCAAAATTTCAATTTGAATAGGGTTTTAGTCCTACCTTCCTCTGTTGGCTTTGGTTTCCATTTTATGTTTTTGTTATCACTGGCATGTACAAGTTCTCCTTTCTCAGTTTTTGAAGAATTTTCAGAGGATGGATCTCTAGCTTCACCTGCCTTAGAAGATTCAATATTTCCATCATTTTTCGCTTCACCTTTATCTTTACCTGATTTATTTACATCTTCTACCATACTTTCACCCTTCTCCTGTTCGTGATCTTTATATAGCTCAATATCCTCTTCTTGCTCTTCAAGATATTCCTTTGGCAGCTTGGGTTTTGTCTTTTTCCTTGATTTCTTCTTATTTCCGTTTTTCTTCTTTTTCTTCTTCCTCACCTTCTTTCCCCTTTTCTTCGATTTCCTCTTTTTCTTCTTCCTTTTCTTTTGCTTCTCTTTTTTATTTTTCTGACCCTTTATACTCGAGTTTTCGTGGTTTTTCACCTCTTCATCCATTGATATCTGTATAGATTTTTCCGGATGCCCCTCAACATTTTTTGGTATTTTCTTGGTCATTTCATTCTTTTCTATATTCTTCCCATTCCTATTTTTCTTTGCCCTCTTAATCTCTTTATTTGTCTTCTTTTTCTTGCTCAATTTTCTGTTCTTTTCTCCCTTTTTCTTTGTTTCCTGTTTCTTATT